CATATGTTTTTTAGTTGAAAGAGTCCTGTTGGTTTCTCTTTCTCCATAGTGATCTTCACTTAAAGAACTTTTTGTGCAAACAAAGTCACAACACCTTCAGATGCTATTATTTACTTTTTCTTGGGGAAAAAATAATACCAAATTCCATCATACAACAAAAAAGAAATACACGTACTTCTAAAACAACTTTAAATTGTCATTTTAGACTGATTAGGCATGTTGAGCTGGAGAAAGTTCCTTTACATTACCCCCCAATATCACATTGCTCTCTCATTTTACAAATCCAAAAAGCTTGATATCTACCATTTTATTTAAATTTTGCAACATGTGCTTCCCATAACAAGTTTTATTACATACATATTGATATTTGATTAACATAAAATAAATATACATGAACCCAATAGGCGGAAACATCTATACAAGAGGAAATAAATACCTGCATGTGATGTTTCACTGGTCCCTTCACGGTATCTCCTATTAGTGTGCTTGCGTGTAGTGGTTCTCTCTTTTGGCACCTTGAATCCCGCATCATTTTGAGACTCTGCTCATTTTGCGATGGCAAGGCTATCAAGTCCTATTAAATCATTTGTCAAAATAAACAACGAACAGCATCAGCATTCAACACCTAAGAATGTAAAACACAAGACCTAAGATACTGATAATCAATAGAACTAAAACAAAACAAAATACCTAAACGAGATTTTCTCTCTAGAGGGACGTAAACCACCCTATCCTTGCCAGGAACATAGAGTCCACCACCAGTAGGCTTTTCCGGTTCCAACGTCATCGTGGTCTTGTCTATGTCAATCGCTCCCGCACCAGCTCTATCTTTCTACTCACAAACAACAACAACAAGGAGAACCAATTAAACCGAAATTTGAAACCATTTAGCGTGTTGAGCAAGAGAAAATATACCAAACTGACCTCCATGATGTGATGCAATTGCAAATTTTGTCACGAATTAATAGAGCAAAATCTTTGAAGATTGAGTACGAAAATTGGAGCGAAACTAAGCGACGTCCAAAAACCCTAATCCAAACACGCAGGCTAGAAATCCCAGATTGAAGTACTAGCAAGTATAATTTCTAATTAGGTATCCCGTTCCTATATCCTGGAATTCATACCTAAGTTAAACACTCGATCATCGTCGCATAGATACCTGAATGTTGTCGTTTTAGAGCGAAACTAAGCGACGTCCAAAAACCCTTCTCTGCCACGTCAGCGTCGCCGGTAGCCACGTATGACACGTGGTATCTCTCGTACGACTCGAAGAAGTTCAGGAAATCCCACGTCGAGCTGCTCAGCGGCGGAGGCGGCGACGACGGCCTCAAACTAGAATAGCTGCTGGAGCGCGATGGAGAAAAAGCATCCTCGTAACAAAACAATTTGAACTTTTAACAATATAGCGTCTTCGGAACTTAGAGAGGAAGGAGAACGAGGTGGTGGAGATTAGACAAATCGTGGCCTTGAAGACAATCGTGGAGCGAAGAAGAGAGGTTCCCATTGCTCGCGGCGGCTAGGTTTACGTATGAGTAAAAGGGTAGTCATGCGAATATTAGGTCTCATTTCTACATCGGTTATAAGTAAAACCGATGTAGAACAATTCCCGGATTTCATTTCTACATCGGTTAATCATAAACCCGAGTAAAATTTCTCATATTTTCTATTTATTTACAAGTTTGCCACCGCGTTTATGATTTACATCGGTTCTACTAGAACCGATGTAAATATAGCGATGTTAAATAGTGTTTTTGTAGTAGTGTAAGTTAGGGTTGTGAACACTATGAGCAACATTTTCCTGCTCCTCCTCAGTATCATCATGTTGTTTTCTTGCAACTGTCTTCTTTCGAGTACGTTTGAATCGACCAAATTGAGGAACTTCTATATCAATTCATCATCTAATCCAGCAACCCTCTCCTCATCTGAATCATCCAACCGAACATCCCTCACAGAGTCATCATCACTGTTACAGAAATTGTCCCCAACAACACCTTCATTGCCACCATCACAAACTGTAAACATTTCCACTTCCACATTGTTAGTAATTGCAAAGTTTGTCATGTCTAATGCAACACTATCACAATTAATCTCTTTGAAATCAAAAGGACCAAATTTCCACCACAGCCTAACAGAATGCTCTCCATATGTCAAGTCTTCTTTTACAATTCCCACGGCTTCAAAATAGGACCACCTATCCATATCCATATTCTTCACATGCACTGGCTCGCTGCCTCCAACATAATGCATCATGGGATCTAACTCAAAACGACCCCTGTAATAAAGTTTCAAATCGAAACCCATTAACACAACTACAAAGAAACCAAATCTTTGAGTCAAAAAAACCTTAGCAACAAAATAGTTAAAGGATATCAAATTGTAAACCCTAATAACATAACTAACCACTTACCTTCAACACAAACGAAGAATGGCAATGGGCATCGTCCAGAACAACTTTGGCAGTGTTTCAACAATGACAACAACTACCTCTATTTATGGCTACAAAATCTCACCTCTACAAATGGTCATCGAAGAACGATGCTTCAAACTTCTAACCCAAGGAACAAACAACCACGTACAATACGCGTTTCCAAATTGAAGAAACACAAAAACGGAGCAGCTTCACGAAAAAGGAGAATGAAAAGGAAAATCAAAACGAATTACAACTTCAATATTTTCAAAATCAAAAAGGAACAATTTTCAAACATGATTTTGTGAGTTCCTGAAGGTTGAAGGAATGGGTTTTTGAGTTCGTAAATTTCCAACATATGCGCGAAACTAATTTTTTAAAAAATTTACAAATCTGACGTGACAATTTACGTGAAAAATGAGGTGATTATTGTGTGCTGACATGACATACAATGTTGGGCGATAACGTGGCAGTCTGTTTGCCACGTCATCATTTAACAGAGGAAACTAACGTTAAGTACTAATTTGAAGAAAAAAATATTAATCAAGTAATTTAAACAAAATATTTTTTTTTAAATAGTAATCTGAAAATCGACCTAATTCAAGGTAGTTTAACATATTTAAGTCTTTATTATTTTATCAACTTGTAATTAAAATATTAAAATAAATACAATTAATATCTTAAACATAAAAAAAAACATTTAAAACTTCTTGAATTGTAAAAAGGAGGACTGAAATTTCGAAACTTTCTTATAAATATTTTACAAACTTTATCGCACGTAACTAACTAACCATAGGTTGCAGAGTTGCAGTTTGGATAATTTATTTATATAAAATGGAAAGCACTCCGACAAAAACAGTTAACATCGTATTGTCCATGGTTGTATATGTATATATCTAGTACATCTCATACCATCGAATGGAGTTTTTTTTTTTTTTCTTTCTAACTTATAGTAATTTATGGTACAACATCTGAGAGCACGCACAGGTGTAGGCACATGGTGCTTCTTTTAGATCTGAATTCTATTTTTGCTTTACATTTATGTAACATGCTAGTTTCGAGGCCGTATTATATTATTGGGAAAAAATAATAATTTATGCTGCGACATCTGAGAGCACGCACAGGTGTAGCCACATGGTGCAGTGTTTGTATCTGAATTTTGTTTTGGTCAACATTTATGTAACATGCAATCAAGCTTCTACTTCTAGAACGTATTATTATGGCAAAAATTTAAAAACATTGGTGTACATGAATCATTGACTTCCGTTGAGTACGATAGTGCTTGTGACAGATACTTTTGGCAGGTATTCGTCGTCTTAATTCTTGTTTATCTATAAATATCTCTGGATTTTAATAGAGTTTTCCTCTTTGGATTTACATATTTAATTATGAAAAAGAAGGGTTTAGGCAGACAGAGATATAATATAAAATTGTTTACCAACAGACACATAATATAAGAAAAGTTTAATAATTATGTATTATTAAACACATAATTCAAATTAACATATAATTATAAAATTATTTTATACATTAATTTAAATTAATGAAACAAAGTATTAAATAATTTTTAAATTTTTTAAAAATTCACAGATTTGATTTATGCAGAACTTTAAATTGAACAGTTAGATCGTTTAAATTTGATGTAGAACATCAGTTATTGAACGGAGTAAATCTAAGTAGATTTACTCCTAGTATAAAAGAATCCTTCCTCTATATATATATATATATAGTTAATCACTTATACACTTATATATATAGTCAATCAGAGTTGTTAATAGTATCTTTTCATCTGCTCATTTAATTAAATTAAAATAAAAAAGGTACTATTAACGACTCTGATTGACTGTCAGTATAAAAAACTTTACATTAACAATATATAAATGATTAACTCATATATATATATATATGTGTGTGGCAGTATGATTGAATTTTGGTGTATCATCATTTGTTTACACCGTGATTGTATAGGCTATTTTCTCATAAGAGAAAAATTAAAATTAATAAGAAATTACAATTTATACATAATTTTTATTAAAATTTTTGTAACTTTAATATTAGTAAGGAAAAAGAAAAACTTTTGTATTTAGTCACTAATTCATTGTCTTTTATAGTACTAGTTAAAGATCCATAAGTAACTCATTTTATATGAATTTCAATTTAATTTCCCTTGAAGTCGATGAAATTCTGTTTGGTTCCGATATCCTCAACAATATAATCTCTTATTGCCAAAAACTATTTGTTGATTAGGAAAATATAGGAGATGCTTCCTTATTTTATAACTTTATTAACCAAACAAAATAAAATTCTTTATAATCTGACACTAAATTTTGTGAAGGACTTTTGAACTTAAAAACAACTTAATTATAAAAGAAATTTTTGCACGATGATGTGATTTTAATTAGATAAAATCTTTTTACGTGTCACATTTGCCCCCCAAAATTTTATTACGTGGTTACATCTATTCCACATATAGTAAATTATTACTAGTATTTTTAAATTCAGCAGTGAATCTTTCATAAATCTCCCGAATATGCGCTTAATAAATTATCATTAAGATCTGTACATTAAATAACACACACTGTGAGTTGCCTAATATGACTACTTCAATTCCCCTTTGTTTCAGAATCCAGATTTTGGAAGCATGATGCTGCTGGAGCCTTCAGAAATTATGTTCAAATCATTTTCAGACAATTCTGTTCGAGACACGATGCAAGATTGGCTTTCCTTTGATATGGTTGACCTTTCCTTCACACAAAGAAACCACCAAAAGGCCAAGCAATTGGTGGTAAAGTCTGAGGTGCATAACAAGGAAAGGTCATACATAGGTGTGAGGAAAAGGCCATGGGGAAAATTTGCAGCAGAGATCAGAGACACAACAAGGAACGGTGCAAGGGTTTGGCTTGGAACCTTTGAGAGTGCAGATGCTGCTGCTTTAGCTTATGACCAAGCTGCATTTTCCATGAGAGGCCATAATGCTGTACTAAACTTTCCAGTCAAAAGGGTCAAAGAGTCTTTGCAAGAGATGCGATATTGCTGCTGCAATGGATCTTCTCCTGCACTTGCACTCAAGGAGAGGAACTACATCAAAAGAAAAATGTCATCAAAAGCTAGAAAGTGTAGAGAGAAACAAGAATCATCAGAGTCAGCAACATCGAGTGTGGTTGTGTTAGAGGACTTGGGAGTTGAATATCTAGAGCAACTTCTCGCCATATCGGATCAAAGTGTAAGCTTATCTCCTGCTATGAATTAATAAGGGTTTAGTTGGCTGAATAAATTTGTTTAATTTCTTATTCAGTAAGCTTATTATATCATGAGAGCTTTTATCATGAGCTTGAATATATTAAGCTTACTGAAATAAGTATATATGTAAAAAATTATTTTAATAAATTTGATTGTGAAATTTATTGGAATAAACTGAAAAGAGCTTAAAGGAAATTTATATGTTAGTTTAATTATAGTCGAAACATAAGCTCTTCTAGCATCTTGTGAATCTTCTTCACAAAAGTCCTTTTCTTTTTAATTTATTTGATTAATTGTTTGTCTTTGGTTCTATAATTTACAACATTAACATGTTCCCGAGAAAGCACTGTTACGCTTTTATCTCTTTGTAACAAATCTTGCGCCATTTTCCTCCTTATAACATCAATGTCGTGTAAACACATAATATCAGTGTAAAATTAACATTTTATCTCGTCTTTTAATATTGATTGCGTAACGATCGATACCGATGTAGAAAGTAACCCAATGACAATTTTATAAAAATAATTATTTTACATTTAAAATACCTGATGTAAAAAAAAAATTAATATCGGTTTAACTTTTAACTAATGTAATATATACTCTAATTAATATATGTCGATAAAGGCCTCAAGCAAATTAATGCGAGTTTCAATGAACTTGAGTCGGAACCTTATCGACATGAAGAACATTTTAGGTGTGCGGTGGGCACAAGTTGTTCGTTTCTAAGGGCCTTTCGTGGGCTTGGGAGAGGGGACATTGTCGGGACGGACATTCAATAAGGCAAATAAAGTTAATGTCTAGAGTTCTTAAACTTATAAGGCTTCCAAATTTTTTTAATAGTAATATTATTTATATAAATTAATTTTAAAAAAATTAATAATATTTGAGATAAGGTTTAATATTTTATAAAAGATATTTTATATTTTTATATTTCTTATTTTTTTATTATTAAAATTACTTAAAAGTATTAAAGCCATAAAGTTTCAAGTAAAAAAAAAAAGAGATGTACTTGTTTAATTATCGAAAACTAGTGAAGATCCTAAGATAAAGAGTGAAGTCATGTGCTTAATGACTTATGAGATAGATAATTTTGAATTTTTATTATGAATGAATATTTGGTATAATATACTTTTTGCGGTTAATTTTGTAAGTAAGATTATGCAATCTAAAGATATGCATATAAATGTTGTTATAGATCACTTAAGAGGCCTTATAACTTATTTAAAAAATTATAGGAAAAATGGTTTTACATCTACATTAGAATCTACCAAAGAAATGGCTATTGAAATAGATATAGAGCCTAAGTTCAATGAAAAACGTAAAATTCATAGGAAAAAACATTTTGATGACATTGATAGTGATGAGATAGCTCATTCTGTTGAAGATTCTTTTTGCATTGATTATTTTTTGTATATATTACATCAATCTATTTCTTCTATTGAGAGTTGATTTAAACAATTTTTAGAATATGAAAACATGTTTGGTTTTTTATTTGATTCAAATAAATTTAAAAACTTTAGGGAAAGATGAATTGAAAAAATATTGTATCAATCTTGAAAAACTTTTGAGTTTTGAGGACCATTCTGATATTGATGGTCTTGATTTGTTTTCAGAATTAAAGTTATTGAAAGAAATTCTAACAAATGAAATTAACACACCATTAAAAATATTGAACTATATAAAAAGATCATGTTCTTTTCCAAATACATACATTGCTTATAGAATATTATTAACATTACCTGTAACTGTTGCAACTACTGAAATAAGTTTTTCAAAATTAAAATTGATTAAATCATATTTAAGATCAACTATACTACAAGATAGATTGAATGGATTAATTATATTATCTATTGATAGTGATATGATAAAATTACTTGATTATAAAACTTTCATAAATAATTTTGCAACTTAAAAAATCAGAAAAATAACATAAAAATTATTAGGCTATATGTCTTAATTTTTACTTAAGGCCCCAAAATTCCTAGACACGACCCTGGACGTTGTTACAGTTTGAGGGAAGCTTCATGAGTTGAATTTTCACTCTTCTACATCGATTTAAATCTACTTGAGGTAGAAGGTCACTTCTATTTTATATAAGTGACATTTACATCATTTATCCAACTGATGTAGAATTTCATTTTTAGCGGATGTGAATGACCCTCTCCACGTTAGTGGAATATCAATATATATAATTTTACATCTAAAATACTGTCTCTATATCCTATATATAATTAAAAAATACATAACTCATTAAAGTTAATAAAAATAGTTAAATTAGTTAATTTTCATTAATAATATTAGAAATTTTAATTTATGATAACTAATATTAAAAATATATACCATAATAAATTTAACATTATTTTGATTGTATTGTCTATTGTCCTCCAAATAATGTACAAAATAAAATGTTAATGAATAATTTATGCATTTATTAACTTAGTGTGTCTAAACACATTTTAGGGATGATAATGGATAAAGTTTGGATAAGGTTTTATAGTACTTGTTCTCATACATGCGATTAAAAATAATACTTGTATTCAGTCTCATATTTACGTGAGTAGCAATTATAATCTTCAACTTCATACTCGCTGTGTACTTGTGTATCTATATTCGCACCCACAACTCACATTTTATTTATGTATAAAGTAAATAAATTAATAAAGAGATTACATTTTATACAAATAAACATAATATTAATTTGTTAGATCTTTAACATTACAAAAATCTAACATAACAATTTTTATAAATAAAGATTACAAAATATTCAATTCTTATAAATAAACTTTTAAAAAAATTAATATAATAAAAGTTGTAATTAAACTTCCAATATTATGATCTTGTGTTAACAATATTATCTAAGATTTGTGAAAAAAAATTATACAAAAATTAGTTAGACTAAAATTATAGATTAAATTATATATTATAAATTTCAAAAAATAAATATGTAGATATTTGACCTCATAATCAAAATTAACTTGTCCATATTTTTGCAAATGATTATCTTCCAAGTTTAGATATTGTTTTTAGTCTTGAAATATCAATAGAAACTACATGGCAAGAAAATGAATGATTAGACAATTTAAATTAATAACTAAAACCAATGATAAAAAAATAAAACAACTTTTATTAAATAAACAAAGTTTCATTATTTATTACCTTGTTGCTTATATTTTAACCAATTTTGTGTACACATAAGTATCCCAGAGTAAATTCATGGAGCCTAGAATGATGAGTACTCAAAAATCTACCTCCCTGTACTAAATGAAAATTTTGAAACTACGGTTGAAATTGGAATTATTAAAATATCTTTAGCAATTTTTTGTAAAATTGGATACTTGGTTCTATGTTTTCCACCATCCAAGATTATCAAAAGTAGTACTCCTATAGATGAAACCTTTTCTTTCAAGTAAAGCTCTATTTCAAACTTATTTGTGTTTCAATTGTATCATTCACAAAATGAGTCATAATGACTAAAACTTTGTTAATATTTAGATTATCCAAATTTGACTAATTGACATTTGTTCATAAAGTTGAACTTTTCACGATTTTGTTAGCTTTAGTTTGATACTCTTCAAATAATAAGTAACATAATCTTTTGATATTATTAATTTCAATTGAATATGAGTTACCGTAAAACTTAGGAAAAAATACTCCAACAAGTTGAAGAAAATCTTGAATCTAAAATAATAACAATATTATTATATTGATATATATATATATATATACATATATATATATATAAATAAATAAGTGAGAGTAATCATTATTTTCATAAATTAATTTTATATAATTAAGTTAATTTCAAACTCATAATCTAACATGATAGCAAAATTTATCTTAAATTCATAATGAGAAATAGAAACTTATTATATTATCTATATATTAAGTCTAATAATGATGAACATTTAAACGTGAAAAGGTGTATTAAAAAAATCTGTCTCGATTAAAAAAAAATAGTAAATATATATACAGACTCACAATATAACATAAATTACAACATGAATATATAAGGGTTAAGTAAAATACTATAAATAAATAAGCAAATTATTATTAAGTATATATATATATATATGCGCCCCACACGAGGATATTTTTATGGATGTCCATATGATTCAAGTCTATTTTTTCATGCCTAACACATCTTAAAATTCAATAAAAATAAAAAATAAAAAATAAAAAAGCTTATTAGGTGGTATGTGATATAAACCAACCCACATTTACACTTGAAGAGAGGTGTTGCAAAACTAAAATCTCACATTGAGTAATTAAGGACAAGCAAAATAGTGTGGACAAAGTTAAATTCAATTGTATAAACTTTTTCATAAACACTTTTAAAAGAAAATATAAAAGAAAACGAAATAGGTTTCTTTATAAATTAAAATTTTAATTACCCTTTTGATCCTTGTGGTTTCATAAGCTTTTTTTTTTAATTTTTTAAATACTATATTTTACTTCCTATATATTGTTCATACCATTTTAGTTCTCATCTTAATTCATATCTCCTATCTTTGTTAGGAGTGTGAAAAAAGCCCTAAATTAATCCGAATTTATCTGATTCATATTGAAAAATTCAATTCGTTTTAAAAAAAATCTCAACCGATTCACTTTACAAAATCAGTTTAGTTATCTGATAATTTTTTACAAAATGGATCGGTTTGGTTCAATTTTTTATAAAACCCGATCCATATATAAATAAAAAATAAATAACTGCAACGTAGCGAATTGATTTAATTTTAAAAAAATTGATCCATATTTTAAAAAAAATCAAACCAATCTTCTTTATAAAAAATAGATTGCTTAACCAATTCACTTTTATAAATCAGATTGATTCGGTTTATTGGTTTAGATTTTTCAAAAATTTGATCCATGAATACTCTTAACATCTATAGGGACCAAAACATACAATTAATAAAATTATAGGGATAAAAGTATAATTAATTGTAAATTAAAATAAACTTATTATAAGTTATTAACTTGTAAAAAATTTCTGATCATATTAACTCTTACAAAAATTTATTTCTA